CTGCTGCGGCTGCCCCTGAGGCCCCGGCTGCCCCGGCTGCTCATAATACGGCGCATAATGCGGCGGCGGCGGCGGCGGAGGCGGCGGGTACCCATAGTCGTACCGCATCGGCGGCGCGTACTGCGCGTGCTGCTGCGCATGCGGGTGGTGATGCGCATGCGCGTGAGGGTGCGCGTACGGGTCGCTGTACGGCGCGCCCGCCCATGGCGGCGGGTACGCGTGCGCGTAGTACGGGTGTTGGTACGGCCCAGGCGCGTAGCCCGGGTGCGGCGGCGGAGGCGGCGGCGGCATTGCGTCTGCGCGGTACCCCGGTGGGGGCGGGGGCGGGATGTGCTGCTGCTGCTGCTGCTGCTGGCCGGGATGCTGTTGTTGCTGCTGCTGCTGCTGGTGCGCGGGGTGCTGCTGCACCGGTATATGATGCCCGCTGGAATCATACGGCTGATACGCCGCCCCCCGCACGTCGTACCCGACATCCTGCGGCGGCCCAGATGCGGGTGGCGGCGGCGGGATCACCACCTGTCCCTGTACCTGCCCCTGCCCCTGCATCGGCGCGCCCTGAATCCCGACCTGTCGCCCGTCAGCAACCCCATCCTGCAGCCAAAAAAAAACAACACAAACCTGTCCCTGCGGCCCCTGGATCTCCGCGCCAGGCGGGGGCGGGATGAGCGGCGTCGACGGCCACGCGGTGCCCACCGGCGGCGCCCCGCCCGTGTTGCCGCCGTTCCCCGCCCCGTCGTCCGTGCGGCTCCGCTTCGCTGGACGGTGCGAGTTTTGCTGGGGGAGGCAGGCGTGAGCGGGCGTGTCGCAGAGAGAGAAGAACGCAAACACACTTTATCATCCACCACAGGTGGGTCCGGGTCTACCGTCGGCATCCCCAGCCCTCCACCGTCGGAAGGCGGCGGTTCGATCAGGCCCCCGCCGCGCTCACCCATGGGGAGGAGCCCACCGCGCGGGTCGCCTGTGAGAGACGTCAGTATGAATGCTCGGGGCCATGTTAATAATAAGAAAAAAGGGCCGAGTGAGGAGGGGAGACGCGGGGCCAGGTAAATGCACACCGCTCCCGCCCCATCAGAACAACGACACTCCAACACCCTCCGCCCCCGCGGCACGTCGCGCGCATCACCCTCCCCATCTCTCCCTCCCCTCCCCTCCAAACCTCCCCCCATCTCTCTCCAAATACCCCAAATACCCACACCCAAACCAAAAGCCAAAAAAAAAACCCAAGGACCAAAAAAAAACCCACCCAACCCCCCACCCCCGCCCCGCGCCTTGCGCATCCGTATATCCTTCCGGATCCGGATCTTGATCCCCTGGTCCGCGAGGGAGCAGGTGAGGGGGGAGGATTCTGTGTGAGGGTTAGTTTCGGGTGGTGGGAGTTGAGTTGAGTTAGTGGGAGTTGAGTTGGGGTTAAAGGGTGGGGGGAGAAAGGTGGGGGAGTGAGGAGAAGGAAGGGAGATGGGAGGAGATGGAAGGGAGAAGGAGAAGGAGATGGGAAGGAGAAGGAAGGGAGATGGGAAGGAGAGGGAGAAGGGAAGAAGGAAAAGGATGAGCAAACAAAATAAAAAGGAATGAATCAAGACCAACGCCAAAAAAAGTAAAGACACGAGCGAAGAAAGAAACGGGATGCGGTCCGTACGGCACGTAAGAAGACGGAACGAGCGAAAGCGAAAGCGCGTCCAACGCGGAGACGAAAACGAAAACGAAAACGACAACAAAAGCGCGTCCAACGGAGACGAACACGAAAGTAAGAGGGTGCGTGGAGGGAGAGTGGGGATGGAGAAGATACACAACGATTGCAACGCAACGCAACGGAAAGGGAAGAGAGGAGACGGAGCGGGGTGGGGCGAACGACGAGCGACGAACGGCGAACGACGAACGGCGAACGAGGACGAAGACCAAGACGAAGACAAGGACAAGGACAACAAGGTGAACGTATAGGGACTGACTCTCGCAAATGCCGAGTCTCCGGAACAAGTGAAGGACAAAACCGCGAACAAAGGAGCCGTTATGGACGACCGAATGAAGGCGTACGTGTCCACTCCAGAAAGCGTTCCAACCCCCCCCCCCCCCCCTCCCAAAAAAAAAAGGCGAAGGAAGACTCCCCCCAAAAAGAAAAAGAAAAAGAAAGAAGAAAGAAGGGAGAAAGAAAAGGAAAAGAAAGACGAACGCACCCTCGACCCCGGGGAACTTCTTGGCCGTGTACACGTAGAACGGCGCGCTGTAGATGCTCTTGCAGTGCCGGACGTCGTTCCTGCGCGGGGAGGGGGGGGGGGTTAGCGTTAGTGTCGAATGAGGGGGTTAAGGAGAATGAGAGGGTTAAGGAGAAGAGAATGAGTGAATGAGTGAATGAGGGGAAGGAAGGAAGCGGGCGGACGCAAAAACGAGTGGGCGAGACGAAGGGGGGGAAGAGTGAGTAGCCTGCGTGCGAAACGGACGAAGGAAGGAAGTGGGAAGGGGGAGGGGAAGTAGAAGAGGGAGGATAGAGGAAAGCCGCGAGGGGGAATGAGAACGAGAACGGAAGCGGGAGGAAGGGCGGGCGGGGAAGGGCAAGGGAGGAAGAGGGAGGAAGGGTAGAAAAAGGAGGAGGCGACGGAGAGTGGGGAACGGGATGAAGGGGAGCAGGGGCGGGACGACGGGCGGGGCGGGGACAAGAGGAAGACGAAACGAAACGAAGGGGGGAAGTGGGAAGGTGAAGCAGCGGAGAGGGGGGGGGGGGGTAGAAGGAAAGCCGTCGAGAGGGGAACGGGAATGGGAACGGGAACGGTAGGGAGCGGGAGCGGGCGCAAAAATAATATAAATCGGTAGGACGAGGGGAAGGAAGGGCGAGACGACGGAAGGAAGCGGGAAGGGGAAGGAAGGGGAGGAAGGGGAGGATAGAGTGAGAGCTAGCGAGAGGGAACGGGAACGGGAACGAGAACGAGAGGCGGAACAAAGGGCGGGCGAGGAAGGGCAAGGGAAGAAGAGGAAGGGAGGATATAAGGAGAGGGAACGGGAGGGAGGGAGGGAGGAGGAAGGAAGGGAGCATGCGCAAAAAATGAGTGCGCAGAATGAAGGGTGGGGCTGGGGAGGCGAGGCTGGGGAGGCGAGGCGGGGAAGAGGAGGCGAGAGAGCGGGGACGGGAAAGGGAGGAGACGGAGAAGGGGAGGCGAGTGCGAGGAAGGATGGGAGGAGGGAGCGTCGAGGCGACGGAGAGCGAGGGAGGGGAGGCGGCGGAGGAAGGAGGAAGGGGGACACGGAACGCGGCGGAATAAAGGAGGTAGAGGAAGAATAAGAGAAGAGAAGCAGGGGATGAGGGCAGGGTGGTTCGGCGAGCGGGGGGCGGGACGGAGGAGCGATGAGGAAGGGGGGGCGAGGTGGCATGAGAAGCAGGTAGGGAAGGCAAGGGAGGGCGGGATGGGGAAGCGGGATGAGAGTGTGTGCGCGAGCGAGGAATGGAAGGAGCGGGAATCGGCGTTGGGGGAAGGAAGGAGACGGACGGTGGACGAGGACGCGGGGGACGTGCGAGGGAGGAGGGTAAGTGGAAGTGGAAGTGGTGGTACAGGAAGCTCGGTGGGTGAAGACGAGAGACGAGAGGTGAGGGAGAGAAACTCGATATATATAAAAAACGCAAAAGAGGCCAACGCACCCGACGACCTCGAAGAGACTGAGCTTGAGGCGGTACGAGCCCTCGGTGCGCACGGAGAGGTCGGGGAACACGAAGAACCCCGCGTCCGACGCGGGCGACGCTGCGTCCATCCGTAATCAGCTCTAACTCTCATGCATGAATTGCTAAACACCACAAAAAAGGACTCACCCGTCGTCGGCCCCCCGTCCTTCCCGTCCTTCCCCCCGCCCCCGCCGCTCCCCGCCCCAGCAACCGCCGTGGGATCCTTCAGCGCATACAGCGAGCTGACGACGCTCCCCGTCGTGCAGCGCGTGCGGCCGTCCTTGAGCCAGTGCAGCTCCGTGTCGTCGTCCGGCTTGGCGAGGCTCGCGAACATGAAGTAGTACGGGTTCTGCAGGAAGCTCTGCGCGTAGCCGGGGAGGTTGCTGTACGGCGGGTCGTCCGCGTCGCCGTCGCCGTCGGCGGTCGGGTCCGCGTCTAGCTCGTCGTTGGGGCCGGCGGCGGCGGCGGAGGAGGAGGAGGAGGCAGAGGCGCCCGGGGCGGCGGCGGCGGCAGAGGAGGAGCCAGAGGCAGCAGAGGAGGAGGAGGCGGCGGCGGACGAGGCAGACGGGACGGCGGGGTCGATGACGCGCAGCTGGACGATGACGGGCGGGTCGATTGGGCGCCGGTCCGCTGTAACAGCACAGCATGAGCACAATACACCATTGGAGCAGCCCAGAGCCAACCCAAAGAACGGAAAACAACGCACCCTTGCCCCCAATCCCGCACATCCTCGCCTGCTTCGGCTCCTGGCGCACCGTCAGCTCGTATTGCCTGCGCATCCCAGTCGGTCAGTATGAGTATCACTGAGGGCGAGAGCGGGGAGCGAGCGAGAGAAAGAAAAGAGTTCGCAAGCACGGGCGGGTAGAGACCCAAGCCCACGGATTCGGTTCATCAGGTCGGTCGAGGTCCCAAAAACTGGCCCCAGTCCCGGATGCCAGTCGCAACCCAATGCATGCAATACACGTACAGCCTATTCCGATCCTGTGCATACCCAGCGGGCATCGTATGCGGCGCCATCGCCAGCACTTCCCCCTCGTCGGTGTCCATCGCAGTCGTGCTTAGTCCGAGTCGTAGTAGTGAAGCTCACTTGGGTTAGGGTTTACATACATGTACACGAGGTTTAGTCAGCCGCTGATCGGGGAACCAAATTTCTGGACCCGGCATTCCGGCTATTGTGATCCGCCACCAATGAGGCACCCGCTATTTCTGGGCCGTGCTTAAAGTTATTTCAGCGCTGCGGCGTGGCATGGTCCGCGCTGAATCTCCTTCGGTTTCACACGCATCAGTCATTCCTTCACAACATCCCTCCTAGTCTAAGTCTAAGCCAAGTTCAAATACATAGCCAGAAGAGCAAGGCCTGGTAGCAGGTGGTCCGCACTTGCATCCAATTGCCATGAGCGATATGTTAGATGTGCAAGAGCTGCTCGTTCGACTCGAGCCTGGGCCCTAGATTTTCCCTCCATTTTTTTATTAAAAAAAAACATTGTCGTTTAGGCTGATAGCGGAAGGTCCGCGCCTGCATGATCAGCAGCGGTGTTCATTTGACTCGAACCGAGGCTATAGCTTTCTTTCCTTCAAGCCTGCATATTATTTAAAGGGAAATTCCAACCATCCTAAATTCAGTTTCACCTATCAGTCATTTCTTCCACAACATCCCTCCTACTCTAAGCCAAATTCAAGTCCAAAGAGCAAGGCCTGGTAGCGGGTGGTCCGCACTTGCATCCAATCTCATTCCATTAACGTGTGTGCAAGAGCTGCTCGTTCGACTCGAGCCCGGGCCTTACGACGGTCGATGATTTTTTTTAACGAAAAATAGCCTTACTTAAAGAAAAATCAACTCACCCGAATTGCCCTCCTCCCATTTTCTGTCCACTTCTTATAAGCTCTCAATTTTGTTCTCCAGCCAAAGTGACAGGATAATAATGCCTGTTAAATTCAAACCAAAACCAAACCAAGTTCAAATCCAGCATAGAACCATAGCAGAAGGTCCGTGCCTGCTCTCTATTATCTCGTTGCCGCTCGATGCAGCAGCAGTGCTCGTCCATTCGAGCCCAAGCCATTGTAGCTTTCCTTCGAGGTATATTTAAGAATTTCCAACCATCTCAAATCTGGTTTCACCAGTAGTGAACAGTATCGGTCATTTCTTCCATTGCTGTCCCTCCTAGCCAAATCCATGGCCAGAAGAGCAAGGTCCGGTAGCAGATGGTCTGCATTTGCATCTAATAAGGCTTGCCCCTGTTACCAAGTTTGCAAGAGCTGCTCGTTCGACTCGAGCCCGGGCCCTACAACAACAAGATGGTAATTTTTTTTTATAAAAGAATTCTTGAAATTCATCTCATTTAGGCTGATAGCAGAAGGTCCCCGCCTGCTTCTACCTGCTCTCTCAGCAGCAGTGTTCGTCCGACTTGAGCCCAGGCCATTGTAGCTTTCCTTCAAGGTATATTTATTTTCCCAACCAAGGCTTTTGTATTCGGTTTCACCCGTAGCGAGCCGTAGCAGTCATTTCTTCCATTACTTTGCCTCCGAGTCTAAACCGAGTTCAAATCCAGAAAGCAACTTGAAGGCCTGGTAGCGGGTGGTCTGCACTTGCATCCAATAATAAAATCCTGATTCCCCACTGAGTATGCAAGAGCTGCTCGTTCGACTCGAGCCCGGGCCCTAGATTATTTCTCAGCCCCATTTTTTTTCCAAAAAAAAAAAAAAATTCACCTCTCATTTTCTTTCCCTTACATAGGGTCTTACGAGCTCTAAATATTGTTCTGCAGTCAAAGCCACGGAATAATATCTGTCCATCAAACCAAACCAAGTCCAAATCCAGCACGGAAAGCAAGGCCAGGTGGCGGGTTGTCTGTGCCTGCATCCAATATATTGTTTGCTTCTCCAAGTCCAACTATCCTCAGGCAGGAGTGCCCGTTTGACTTGATCCCTTTCCTTCAAGCATGTATGTTCCTTAAAAAAATTCCAACCAATCCAAATTTGGTTCACCTATCCGTTATTTATTTCTTCCATTGCCGTCCCTCCTACATAGCCGAGTTCAAATCTAGAAAAGCAAGGCCTGGTAGCGGGTGGTCCGCACTTGCATCCAATGTTGATGATTGTACTGAAGTCTGCAAGAGGTGCTCGTTCGATTCGAGCCCGGGCCCTAGATTTTCCCTCCATTTTTTTTTTTTTTTTTAAAAATGTTCTCATTTAGGCTGATAGCAGAAGGTCCGCATCTGCATGATCAATACCAGTGTAGCTTTCCTTCAAGGTATGTTTTTCGAAAAAAATTCCAACCATCCTAAATTGGTTTCACCTATCAGTCACTTCATCCATTGCCATCCCTCCTACATAGCTGAGTTCAAATCCAGAAAAGCAAGGTCTGGTAGCAGGTGGTCCGCACTTGCATCCAATAATAAAATCCTGATTCCCCACTGAGTACGCAAGAGCTGCTCATTCGACTCGAGCCCGGGCCCTACAACGACAAGGTGGTGATTCTTTTTTATAAAAAAGAAAACTTTAAAATTCATCTCGTTTAGGCTGGTAACGGAAGGTTCACCTGCATCTACCTGATCCATCAGAAGTGTTTGTCCAACTTGAGCCCGGACCATTGTAGCTTTCCTTCGAGGTTTATATAAGAATTTTCAACCATTCGAAATTAGGTTTCACCCGTAGTGAGCAGTATTACTCATCGTTTTCCACAGTGCCCTCGTAGTCTAAGCGAAATTCAAATCCAGAAGAGCAAGGTCTGGTAGCAGGTGGTCCGCACTTGCATCCAATATCAACTGTCCAACTCCGTGTGCAAGAGCTGCTCGTTCGACTCGAGCCCGGACCCTAGATGGTTTCAGCCTACTTTTTTGAATAAAATAAAATAAAATAAAAAACCTCTCATTTTCTTTCCCTTACCAGTCTTACGAGTTCTAAATCTTGTTCTGCAGCTTTGAAAAAAAAATCCAAAACAAACCAAGTTCGAATACCACACGGAAAGAAAGGCCTGCTAGCAGTCCATGCCTGCATCCAGTATATTGTTCGTTTCTCCAACTATTCACAGGCAGGAGTGTTTGTTTGACTAGAGCCCAGGCCATTATAGCCTTCCTTCAAGGTATATGTTTTTCTAACCAATCCTTCAGTTTCACCCAGTAATAATCTAAGAGGTTAGTGAGGAGCCATTGCCATCCCTCCCTCCCAGATTAGCCAAGTTCAAATCCAGAAGAGCAAGGCCAGTAGTGGGTGGTCCGCACTTGCATCCAATTGAGCGTGCTCCTTTAAATAAGTTTTCAAGAGCTGCTCGTTCGACTCGAGCCCGGGTCCTACGGAGGATCGCGGCTTTTTTTTTTATAAAGAAAAAATCTTGAAATTCCTCTCGTTTAGGCTGATAGCGGAAGGTTCGCCTGCATTTACCTGCTCTATCAGAAGTGTTCGTTCGACTCGAAACCAGGCTATAGCTTTCTTTCCTTCAAGCATGCATATTATTTAAAGGGAGATTCCAACCATTCCTTTGGTGTCACCCGGTAATAGAGGTTAGTGAGGAGATTACCTTCCCTTCTACTGTACCATTTCGACCATAGGTTCACGGTATGTCACCCGTCACCACACATGTTCATTTTCTTCGATGTTCATTCGTCGGCAATCACAGTAAAATTGCTATTTATGGTAATCCGGCAACTGCCGGAGGAGAAATTTTCACATTTTTTAGCCTAATTGGGCCATAAAAACCGGCCGTCACCATCACCTGTACCAAATAGGTTCAGTTCAGGACCCCCCGTCACCGTCACCTGAACCTACGGTCGAAATGGTACAGTAGTCAACTTCAGATCCAGAAAAGCAAGGTCCGGTAGTGGGTGGTCCGCACTTGCATTCAATACCCTCATATTCTTGTCTCTAAGTTTGCAAGAGCTGCTCGTTCGACTCGAGCCCGGGTATTGTGTCGACTAGCCTGTTTTTATAAAACCTTGGAATTCACCTCGTTTGAATCGCCTCCTCCCATTTTCTTTCCATTATGTATGTACCTCCCCACTTGTTACGAGCTCTCAATCTTGTTCTCCAGCCAAGCCACGGAATAATAATAATGATATCTGTTAAATTCAAACCAAATACAGCATGGAAAGGCCTGTAGCCAGTGGTCCGCGCCTGCATCCAATTTATTGTTCGCTTCTGCAACCATTCTCAGGCAGGAGTGTTCATTCGACTCAAACCCTTTCCTTCAAGCATGTATATCCAAATTTTCCAACCATTTCAAATTCGGTTTCACCCGTAGTGAGCAGTACTTATCAGTCACTTCTTCCTGCAGTCCCTCCTACATAGCTGAGTTCAAATATAGAAAAGCAAGGCCCAGTAGCGGATGGTCCGCACTTGCATCCAATAGTGGCAGATCCTCCTGAAGTTTGCAAGAGGTGCTCGTTCGATTCGAGCCTGGGCCCTACGTGGTACGCTACATCTTTTTAATTTGAAAAAAAAAATCACCTCCTCCCATTTTCTTTCCACTATGTACCCATTTTTACGGGTTCTCAATCCAGTTGTTCTGCAGCCACGGAATAGTAACATGAGTTAAATTCAAACCAAACCAAGTTCGAATACAGCACGGAAAGCAAGGCCTGGTGGCGGGTCGTCCGCACCTGCATTTACCTGCTCTCTCAGCAAGAGTGCTCGTCCTACTTGATCCCAGGCCATAGCTTTCTTTCCTTCCAGCATGTATATGTAAAAGAAATTCAACCATTCCTTCGGTGTCACCCAGTAATAGAGGTTAGTGAGGAGCTATCACCATCCCTTCTAGCCAAGTTCAACTCCAGAAAGGCAAGGCCCAGTAGTGGGTGGTCTGCACTTGCATCCAATAATAAATACCTGTCGAGTGTCCAAGAGCTGCTTGTTCGACTCGAGCCCGGACCCTATGCCGATACAGCCAAGATTTTTTTTCTTATTGATTCATCTCGCTTTTCACATCCCTCCTCCCATTTTCTACCCACTTGTCTGCAGAGTCTTACGAGCTCTTAATTTTGTTCTCTAGCCAAAGTTATGGAATAACAATATGTGGTAAATTCGAACCGGAACCAAGCCAGGTTGAAATAATGTACAGCATGGACAGCAAGGCCTGGTAGCGGGGGCTCCGTCCTGCATCTATTATCTCATCGGTCTCAACCAATCTCAGGCAGGAGTGCTCGTTCGACTCGAGCCCAGGCCATGATTGTTTTCCAACCTTCTTTTTTCTCCTGTGACTGAAACTCAACCCAACTGCGTGTGTAGGCAATGATGACAGGGTTCGCGCCAGGCTCACATTCCATCTTTTCTGCCGTCCCATATGCATTTTCAACCTGAAGACCGACGCAAAATAATAACATGATCAAGTCTCCCAGACCTAGTAGCGGGCGTCTCCGGCATCTGACTTAACTTATCCCGTTCTCCGACTAATTTGCACGGTCCTCGTTCGATTCGAGCCCGGGTCATGGTCCTTCGGCACGATATTTTTCGGGGCCCTCGACCACGGAGAAGAGTCGCATAAGGTCGTCAGAAACCTCAGATTGGATTTGGGTCAGCCCCCCGCTGATCATAATTCGATTTCACGCATCATGGGCCTCCACAACCCTGACCTACGGCGCGCAAACTGAAGGATGTGTATACACCACGGATGTCCTTGAAGGAATTTCTAAGGAGAAAGGGCTGAAATCGTTGGATACTGTAGAGCACCAAAAGCGCAGTGACAAGACAATTTTTGTTATTAACGTGCATTTAAAAAGGAGCTGAAAGCCTATCGCCGAATCCCACACCCCGTACTCGTTTCAAAAAGTGGGGGAATCGGCCTCGGCTCAGTTAATCTACCATGAAGCCGAGGAGGATATATAGTAGTTGCCCATCAATTAACAAAAAGGCTTCGCGCTAACAAACAAACATCGAGTCAGTTTGAAAATGTGGCGGAGCGTACGCAGAAACACTCACCCCTTCAGACTTAGGGACATGCGAGTCGCGACTCGTGGCGACAGCGACGTCGCCATTGTGGAGGTGGTGGGGTTGGGCATGTTTGGTGTAGATTAGTCATCCCTGTCTTAGGTCTCGCCATATCCGTCGCTTTGGCCTGGCCCCGCGCGATCCTCTCGAGAGGCCTCCCAGCGATTCGGAGGTGGCCCAATCCAACGATATCCCCCTCTCTTCTATCCTTTGGTCCCATTTCTAGAGTTTTCACGGCGTCAAGTGTCTGACTAGTGTCTGTCTATTCCCATTCTAGCGCTTTATCTGTGATGGAGACCAGCAAGACTGGGGCAATACGACATCCTCATTCTTCCCCACCTACCCTCGCTAGTACACTTCCCGATTTCACGACAAGAGCTCAGATACGCGCACTGCTTCGATCCCATTCCCCGCCTCCCGATCATCTTCCATCAACAATCTCGGTCGTATCGAAGGAACTGGCTTCCTACGATGAGCAAATAATGCGCTGGGAAACCGAGATTCTCCGGCTTCGCGCCCGACTCATCAAGGCGAAAGCGGACCGTGCCGAGCTCAGCGCGCACCATGACGACCTTTGCAGCTTGCTTGCGCCTATTCGGCGGCTACCATCCGAAGTATTGGTGGAAATTTTCGAGTGGTGTGAGGAGGAGGAGGAATCTGCGCAGTCTACGTCGGTGATGAGCGGACTGGCCCGTCTGGCGCAGAAACCGCTGCTCACTGTGTCGCAAGTGTGCACACGGTGGCACGGGATTGCATTGGGCACGCCGACCTTATGGGATACACTCCAGCTCGACGAAATTGATTTGTGGGCTACTCCGAGGTGCGCCAAAAAAGCAATGGCGTTGCTGCAGGTCGCTCTCGATCGTAGCGCAACAACACCTCTGCACATAAGTATATCCATCATCGATCCACTAGATGGAACCCGCCCGCTCCAACTTCTGGCTCAGCATTCGGAGCGGTGGAAGACGGTCTCGCTCTTCTGCCGCTCCTTCGATCTCCGACACTGGCGTGGTGTGAAGGGGAAGCTGCCCTTATTGGAGACCCTGGGGGTGGAGATTCACGACAAACCATGTGCGCTGGATCTATTCGATATCGCCCCGAGGTTGACAAACTATACTGTGAGCGGACGTGCTTTGCCCGCAGTCGCCGAAACACATCTTTCTCGACTCGTCACCTTCGGATGTTTGGGACTGGAGCCAGCGCGGGTGCAGGCGGTGGTGTTGTTCATGCCACGCTTGCCATCCATGCTACCGTTCCGCCTGCAACTTTTCCTCGGCAATTGGGCGCGGGATCACATCACCTCGATCGACTTGCCTTCTACTTCCTCGGATATCGTCAGCTTTTCAATGGAGACCAGAGATTACTACGATGCACCGCATTGCGCCAAGGCTCTGAACGATGTCTTCACTTGTCTTACATTGCCCCTCCTTCGGGAACTATATTTCCGGTCGGATACATCACCGCTTTGCCTCATCTCTTGGCCGCATTCCGCTTTCCTGGGCCTCGCAGCACGGTCCTCGTTCCATACGCATCTTGAATCCCTCTTTTTGTTCGATGTCGTCGTCACCGAAGCCGAGCTCCTCGAATCGTTGGCTGAACTACCATTGCTACAGCGCCTCGAGATCTCCGACCACCAAGTCATCGAGGTTCACGGGGTTCATCACTTGCTCATCACGGACACTCTCCTCGCGGCGCTCACGCTGAAAGCCCGATCCCTGGGTCTGGTGCCCCACCTGCACTCGCTCACCTGCGACTCGCTCCTCCAGTTCGACGACCACGTTTATCTAGATTTACTGCTTTCCCGCCGGTCGATGAAGGTGCCATTTCGCAACTGGATGTACTGGCTGAAGGGCCATCATCGCGAACTTGACGAGGCTGTCGTTGCGCGGATACGGGAACTATGCAATCAAAAGGAGCTTAAGTGGGAGTTTGCGTATGCGGGACTTTGGGCTTGCTAAGGTGCCGGGATTGCTTAATGCTTATGATTCGTTTCGGCGTATATCCATCCATTCCTTCTTGTTCACTTCTTCCCCGATGGGCTTGGCACAAAGATTGTAAACCAAAATTCGACCTTTTTTCACCATGGTCTTTGCTCATCCTGAAAACTTGAAACAGAACACTGTCTTGGTCCCAATTCATGTAGATTTTTATCCTTTCACTGGGTTCCTGGTGCGTTGCTGGCCGCTGGTGTACCTCATAAGTCTCGGCCGCAAAGCTGCCGTGCGGGTACGCCTCCTCGATCTCCTCCAACGTCTTGCGGCTGAGCAAAAAATCGGGCGAGCCGGGGTGTGCACAGTTTTTCGGCCGTCGAAACAGCCGTGGACACCTTGAACACTCTATCTTCTGTCCCGACGGTCAGCCGCATCAACACGATTGTTATATACCCTACTTTCACGACGCCTCAGATGCTCACGCGCCTCGACACTTTTTTGGCGTCCCTACCGCTGCCCATGGCGTCGTACCCACAGACGTCAAATAACGCGCACAGCGACAGGAGGAGCGCGGTCGCGGAGGACGTACCGCCCGGCCACTGCAGCGAGTGGAGCATGATGCTCTGCACGATGTCGCCAAGTTGCTGTGCGTTGAGGGCGGGGGCCTCAGCTTGGAGGTGGTCGTACGCCATGATCTCGCCGTGGAGCTCGAACTACATGGCGTGCGCGGGGTGTGCGCCGAGGTCGGCGTTCGTCCCCCAGCCCAGATCGTGCAGCAGGCAGGCGTGGTAGAGCCGCCGGCTGAGCTCTTCGCGCGTGATCTGCGGGACACCCGGTGTCTGCCAGGGGAAGCCGTTGTGCAGGAGGGCGCGGGCGATGTAGTAGCACCGCTGCGTGTGCATGAATCCGGCGGGGGGCGTAATCTTCTCGGAAAAAATCGAGCGACGCGGTGTGTTCACTGTTCAGCGTCGAGCGGAACGGCGCGAAGTGTTTGGAGAGGAACGTACTCCGGATTGAGCTTGACCAGAGCGAAGAACTCTGGCATGCTGCTTGGAACGTAGGTGTCGAACATTTTGGGGAAAGGCATTTTTGTCTGGCTACCCGAGTCTTGTGCATGGATTACATATAAGCTGGCTGGAGGCGCCTAAGGAGTATGGAAAGGCCGGGCGGTTTCGTGCCGAATCGACGCGTACCTCGATCGACGTACACCCTTTGACTCACTCGGTCCGTCCTGGTAGATATCCTTGATGTGCACTGGTAGTGAGCAGATGTAAAGTCTTGCTGGAAGTTCAACCAAGTTCAAATACAGAAAACGAGGCATGGCGCGTAAGGCTGCCCACCACGAGACACCCATGACTCGAGATCTGGGGTGGTGCTACGTACCACTGATGCTCACAAGGACCAGTGATACGAGAAAAAAGGTATGTCGCTGGAAACCGAAATAACTGGATCGAAAAACAACATGAAAGTGGTGGTTACACGCAAAATGACTTCAAAAAGAGAAAGAGAAGAGCTACAGGCCGCCGATATGCGCAATGGACGGGAAAAGC